TGCGATTCTAAGCTGGTTGTGCCATAGCATCGAGGGATCAATTCCTCAGCCAAGGGAATTCGCAGCAAAGAAAACGGTTGTTCCTTCAGCGGATTCGAACCCATCACCTGCGGAGTTTAAAACTCACATCTTTGCCACTGTACCGCAAGCGCAAAGCGTTGATACAGTGTTACAAAAACGTAATATAATTCACAACAACAGTTACGCAGAAATGGGAAAACTACTATCGCCAACACTGTACATGTTCTACGCTTCATTTTACAACTTTTCCGCGAAGAAGAGTAATATGCAAAAGTCAGGCATATATCATCATCCAGTCAAAAATTTCCGCATTAAAATAATTAAATAAGCGTAACATCATCATTAATGCCTCGCTTGAATGCCGGTACTGCGGCTTCTGTCTCGTCCTTTCGGTGATTCCAATTCCAAGTGTGCATTTCCGCACGGTAAGTAGTCTAATTTGATATGCTTTTGGGATTTTTGATCATTCTTATGTTTTCGGTTGTTTTATTTGTAAGTTGGTTTCCCATTGCTCCATGCTTTTTTTCCTGTTTGTCCTTTGTCGTTGCTCCGGCCGCTATCTTGTTACGTATTTTCTGGCCGTCTGGATGCTCTCAATGAGTTACGTTTTTTCCTCGGCTTCCTCATTTTTTTCACGAGTCCGTCCGCATCTACAGTTTTTGCCCATAAAAAATTTCTCCTTTCACACGTTGCACTCTTTGCTGTGTCTTGTTGCAGCCTTGTGTTTCTCGCTACATTTTTTCCTTTGCTACTTGTTTGATGCAGTTGCTGTCTCGTGAAGAGTTTGTTGGCCCTTTTGCTTTTAAACACAAACAATTTCTTGTTTTGCCTGCGTATTGCTATGCCAGTGTTCTTTACTATGCTCTGCCATAGTTTTCTTGTGTTTTCCATCGTTTCATGATTGTTTTCTATCGTTTCTAGTTACAACCGCTTCTGTCCTATCATTTGATCTGATACCGTTTTTCTTTTTTCCATCATTTGTCATGTTCTCTACTGTCATTTCGCTCTCTCCTGCGTTCTCCTGGATGTGTGTTTCGTTCAAATTCGTTTTTTTCCAATCATGTTTCTGATCATTTTTTGTTGTGTTCCTCTTCATAGTTGTATCTTCGCTGTGCTTTGTTCCAGCAGTGTTCTGTCTTTACACTGTTTGCGTTTCGTCCTTTTTTATCAGATAATTTCTCCCTTCTCATCCTATTCGACTTTTTTACGCAAGGCTATTCAATAATTTTTTACACCCCATCTTTGTTCTGTCATAACTACGTTTATCGATGTTTTTTAAACTTTTTCTGCTTTTCTCCTACTCACCACGTTAAAAGAGCTATTTTTCCTAAAATTCTTAGTTACATTCATAGGAACATCTGTGGGAGATCTATGTGATAATATTGATGGTTATTATGTGATTTGCACTTCCAGCGCAATCCGATAAGTTCCATGCACCAGTTTTAATAAAAACTTGTTGGATTTCTATT